ACTAAGGGATCAGCGATATGAAAGTTGTTAGTTTCTGACACCCTATGATTGAGTTTTTCCATTTAGCTGGAGGAATGCATGGATACTTATTCTAGAGACAGAGAGGAAGTCTATAGGAAATTGGTGATTAACTTTTACTCGCAATCAAGCGCTGATTTAGACTGAGTGAACTTGAATGAAGTTAGATTTCGACTTCATCTGATCAGCATTTAAGTTTATTAGTTAATGGTTTTCGCATTTGTTTTCAGCACGTATCAAATCTGGAGAAGAATGTTGGTTCGTTGAGTGCAACGAACGAATTTCTTGAGAGACAATTGAAGGACTCGAAAACTGAAGTGACCCGTCTTAAAGAGGTATTACATTTAATGTGACTTAAAATGAGATGATTTTTTTTTGAAATTTAAATTCGTTTTCTTTGTGGCATTCGCATGAGTGAGTAAATGTCAGAAAGTGTAGTTCAGATAGGTGAAAGATGATAAACAGCATCCGTTGGCACACACATACATAAATGATATCGATAATGAGTATTTTGTAGCTGTCGTTTGATTTTATCGTTTATTGCCACGACGATTGATGACATTTTGATCGGTGATTATCAAAATGCGTAACCGATTTGAAAGACGCAAACGCTGGAAAGTATTCGACTGTATTCTCGAACGAAAATTTCAATTTGTTCCTATTGTTAGGAATTGGAGAAGTGCGGAAAAGAAATAAATGACCTGAAAAGTGAGATCGAGAAGGGCGAACAGCGCTTGGCGGAATGCGAGAATAAAGCTGAGTTGACGAGTCGTTATTTGGCCGATGAAAACAGCAAAATTAAACAACAAAAAGCTGAGATCAGGTGAGAATGATAGCTTTTGAAGTATGCAGTTGAAGGCGAGAAATCGAAATTTTCATATTTCGTTGGAAAAAAATTGCTTCGTCTCCGTTGAGACTCCATTTGGACTGACGATTTATCATTTGGTTCTTGAATTCAAAACAATTGTATTTGAATGTGCAATAGTTATGAAAGTTTGTATCGAACTGTTAATCGTGTTCGTATCGGCCACAGAACCGTTCCCATTGTTCTATTGTAATTGTAATTATAAGTTGTACGTTTTTGAAGATGTGAATTAATTGCTCTGAAACGAGAATACGCGAAACTTCGTGATACGACACAAACCACAGCGAATGAGGTAATTTCGTTACATTAGTATTTATTCAGTCGTGTGTTCATGGATTAGTAGTCGATGAAATGAATTGTTTTTGGTCTCTGCTTCACACTCATTTCTCTGATCATCGTTTAGTGTTCTCAA